TTTTTTTAAATATTTTTAGATTTAAATAGAAAATTTTATGTTATTTTTTTATTTTTGAAAGTGATACGACTTATAACGAAAAGAAACTATTTAAATAATAGAAGAGTTCGAATAGAAATGAAAAGGCAACAACAACAATTTTAGTTAATTTGTTGAAATTTGGTTGTTCATACAACGCTATTTCGAGTATTGCTGAGTACTCATTATCAGAAATATTCGAATTTCTTTTTAATTAGTATTTAGTCCGTACATAATTTATTTGGACTGCAAGTGCTAAGTTTAGAAATCGTGTGGATCAAATTAGAGCCGATGACTAATCGTGTTTTTCCACAAGTTGCAAAGGCTATACAAACTGTCAATGCTCAAGCTCTAAGTTTTTTGTCAAGTTCCAAGAAATGTAAATTTTATAGAAATATAATTACCAATCCTTCAAAAATTTTAAGCTTCTATATGCCAGTTGCATAGGAAGCCATAAGAGTATACCATATCATCGGATATCAAATGAGTGAGCCTTAATATCAACCTTAATTTGAGTTGTGTCATACATCAGATCGTTTTCGGGAAAAAGAGAAAGAAAAAGAATCATTGTTATTTGAAAAGTTTTGGAGTAATCGCACTAATACTTCATGGCAAATCCTAAAAACCCACAAACTACGCTAATTGATCTGAAAATGTTTACACAAAGTTAAAGTTGAAATTGGTAACTGCCGTAGTGCAATATAAGATTTGGATTTGTGTGGTACAATCAGTTGCAAAACATCACACAAATTGAACTCATAAATAATAGGTGTCGCGACACTTACTCGACCAGCACTACTCCACAAATTCGAAATCAGCTAACTCTGTTCCTTCGCCATGAGTCATGGTTGAGTGATGGTAAAGTGATTTGCAATCGTAGCAAATTCATCTAAAATGAGTATGTGCTTTGGTGGCGTTTTCTGAAATATGCGAAAGGATAAGGGATAAGCATATATATTGCTTTAACCAAAATCTCAGAGGAGCTATGTAAACATTTTTTGTATCGCTGTTGTTGTTGCTGCTCTACTACCACCTATGCTACTTCATTTTTAGTTTTTTTCTTGTATCTTTGCTCAAAAGGATTTATGCATCAAATTGGTCAGAAACTATAAAAACACTGGCAATCCTTTAGTGACTTACTCGACGACTACTGACTGCAAGACTGTAATAGCAGACCGAAGTCATAACAACAAATGAAATTATGCGAATGTGGCGTCGAATTTTGACGCGTCGGTTTTCACAATTTAAATTATGGCAGCAGCGGATGCGATTTAACTGCTACCACCATCGCTTTTATGCACTAGTAACTGACCAAGCAATAACTGAAATAAGATTCCGTTGCCATGATTTTATTTTATTTCGTTTTTTTACTAGACTGGGTGCTCCTTTTGTTATTTTTACTTGAATTACCTCCTTGCCATTGGCATTTGGCATTGAATTCGCTGTTGCGATTACTGCATTTCGCTGCTCCAATTCATGCAACTATTCTCAACCGCTTTAACGTGGACGATTGAGCTCCTTAGTTAACCTGCAACTGGTACAGGAATCGTTTCAGTGTACGTCGCGTCACCATTCAACCGCTGCATTAAAGCCAAAGTGCGGTGATAAATCAAATTGTCACTTTTGTACTTGCAGAGAATTGCACCACCAGCTGACGGCATATGAATATCTTCTGGTCTCATTGGCATTGGCTTTGAGTTGTTTTGTATTGTTTCATTTGCTTTGGATTGAATTGGATTCGTTCGCTTGGGTTTGGATTTGGGTTTGGGTTTCCAATTTATGGGTATCGGTAATGGAGTCTGCATGCGCATTTAATACTTATCCATGTGATACTTATGTTTTAAATAGTGCCAATGTATATCATAACAAAATTTAATTAAATTATGAAAATGGAGACTTCCATAAATTTTCTTTGAATGTGCAGACAGTAAATTCCTGCAGAATTCGTAAAGGATGTGGTTGTGAAGCAGTCAAGCTATTTGCGAAATCTAATAAAGTAAAGCTATAAATATTTAAAAATTTATTTTATTGCAAAAGTTTACTTTTTAAAATTTTATAAAAAAAAAGATTTATTATATATTAAAAAAAGGTTAAAAATTTAAAATTAAAAGTAGAGAACTATCTTAAGAAAAATGATATTAAGTGTACCTTTTTAAAGTAATATTATTATTTAAGAATTTAACAAACAATTCTTATCTTTTGTATCATTAATATTACTGTAGAAATATTACAGTAATATATTTCTGGTATAACTGTATTAATATTATCATTATTAATAACATACTATTAATATTATTACTATTATAATGTGCTTATTCTTACAATAGATCCGGTCAAAAAATACATAAGGGATAGACCTCTAAAGCTATATGCGAAAACCGACAGGTTGCCCTACTTAGCACTATTTAATCTCAGAGTAATCACTAACCGCATGGGGCGGTACGCAGATCTTAGATCAATCATTGAATAATCACAAAGATTATCAGGAATACTCAAATTAGTCAGTGAGATGGGCAGGACTCTGCAGAATCCCCTCAGCTATAATAGAGTAAAAGTGCACAGATGCAATAACTCGGAAAAGGTTTAACATAACATATTCTTATTATTACTGTTATATTATTATTATCACTAAATAATTTTTTTTAAATTAAATTATTAATTTAATATTCCATTTTCCATATTATATAATTAATTATTCCATTACTTTCTTAATTGAAAAAAATTCTGCTTTGACCATACAGTTTTTTTAGATGCTGCTGAATATTCCTCTCCAGTGGTTCTATTATTTAGAAAGTACTGTATTTTTCTTTTGCCGATAGGTGGAAAGCATCGAAAGCCACAGTGTAAGGTTTTAATCCACAAAAATCAATTTTTACGAATGAATGTTTAAGATTCCATTTATAGACCGTAAGGGTCATGGGGTTAAGAAACTCATTCCAGTAATCAGTGGAAAGTTAGGGTGTACACCGACCTAAATATGCTTAAATAATTTTATAGATATTTAAGCATACTTAAGTTAAGCATAAAATAATGCAAATGCAAAACTGAATGTAAAATTTATTAACTATAAAATTTTAATTTAAGCTTAAAAATATTTTTCTAATAATAAGCATTATTACAAACATTATTATTTGGTTTTTAAAGATATTACTTCAAAATTAACTACATGTTAAAAATACTCAACTGATTATCTTTAAATAAACTACTTTCATAAAATTATATACGAATATATAAAACAGATAATATTTGAGGTAATTCATTTAATTTAGCGTAATTTTATTTTAAAATGAAGACATCAACATCTATTAACTTTATTTTTATGATAACAGTGGGACAATTTGTTGAAATTACTCAATAATTTTACTTTATAATAAGAAAAAAATATAATTTAACGTGTTGCGTTTGGCTGTAAAGTTACGAGTATGTTAATAACAGAGTTCTTTTACAATTATGTTAAATTAACTTTTTTCGAGTACATATTTATTCACAATCTATTCATAATTTATTTACATATAATGCAGTAATATATATATGTGTGTATAAGTTGTGTTAAATAAGTAAAATAAGCAAATAAATAACTAAATAAGCAAAAAATGTCACATAGACCTCATGGACTTGGTGATATCAGTTAAAGCTGTACTTTATGTATACGTGCATAACTTATCTTGAATAACTTGAAAATTAGATGTAGACCCCGCTGACATAGTTATATTTAATGTGATAGATAGCGTTGTAGTCCTATCGTAGGCAGCGTCCTATTGGATGCGAATTTCTCACTACTTTAATGTCACATTTCTCTGTTTCCCTATCGTAGCATCTTAGTTTTAATGTGAATGAGTTCACTAGTTGCTGAGTAGATTTAATGCCCCATTGATCTATTGAGTCCTCATTAGTGAAAGATAATTTTCAATGCTTATTACATATATACAAAATATGATAATTTCAAATAGATGACTTTATATCACTCCTTGTAAATACTATATTATAAAATTAGTTCAGTTAGTTTACCATTTTGTTTCACTGTGCAGTGACGGCAATAAGTAAGACTTTAGAGAATTTTGCTGGATTTTAATACAATGTGGGCAAGTTGGGTTGCAGTTAAAAATGCATTAATGCAATCGAAAGAGACGTCAAAGTGATGTAAATATGGAAATATGTGCACTCTTGGTAATGTGTCCATAAACAAGCAAGGCATAATAATAATCGTAATTATAATTATTTTATTATTTTGATTATTGCACGTGAAAAATGTCATTATTAATGGCATTTAAGTTGCTGTTAATAGAAACGCTGTCAATGTTTGCCGTTGTCAAATCAATGCACATGCGTAGTCGGCGACAAATATGCACAGAGGACGGCTTTGCATTATGACGCACAAAGAGACGCGTTCAGGCAATCATAACCGATTTTTTAGGTCTTAATGGATGCACAGATACAACTGGAATTTATATCGAAGCTATGTGTACACAACTAACGGATACTCCGGAGTCCATCACTATTAAAAATGACATGCATTACAGCAATTAAAAGCGCACATTCGCATAAGTGGAAACAAATCCGTCGATGTGATTACTTGCTGAAGTGCTTGGACCATGGTGGACTATGTGAACAATTTTAAAATGGTTAAATACAAGTCTCTCTGTTGTTATAGGTGTATGTTATCAATAAAAATTGAAGGAAAATTTTTAATATTTTTCGTATATTAAAACAAAAAAATGTCAAAAGCAATGGTTATTGTCTTCAGGAGATAATATAAAATATTCCATAAAACTTGAGTATACCTACATAGTGGAGGGAAATGGAAAATTTAATTTGCTTAACTGCTTAAATAAACTTAAAAATATTAAACTAAAAACTTTATGATCATAAGCAGGAGGCGAAAAGAGAGATTTGTTTAAGGAGTAATCTATGAATACTTCTTCAAACTTCGTATGGAAAGATTTAATTGTAAAATTATATATTTTTGTATATTTTTATAATAATTATAATATTTAATATAAAATGGTTTCGAATATTTTATGGTAGATTTGAACACCAAAATTTTGTTTGTGTATAGAATGACAACAATGTAAAAACTGTTTGAATGTCAGGAATTAAAGCCTAAAAATGGAGAATACTCTTGGGAAGTAGTTCTTTGCAATTGAGACTAATACCACACCAAAGTGTGTATATGTATATCATTTATAAAATTGTGATTGGCCCCATACCATATATTATGGATCGGAAGCATATAGACTAACAGTAGAAGATACTGAGGTTTACAAGAAAAATTTTTCGAAAGGAATTTAGATTTAAACAGTGATTCATTGCTATAAAAAAAATTTATTTTTAATTGATAGAGAGATTTCGAAAAGTAGTGAATTACAACAACAAAAAAAAATTTTTTTTTTTATTTTAATTAATTAAATTTTTTGGTTGATTATAAAGTTGATTCGAATATTCACAAATATCCATCGGCGATAATCTTAAAATTATTTTCTACATTTTATTATTCGAAAATAATTTTTTGAGTTTGCAAGTACAAAGAGTTTAACTCATACCCTGTCGACATAGTTATATGAAATGTGATAGATAGCGTTGTAGTCCTATCGTGGGCAGCGTCCTATTGTGAGTTTCCGTTTGCTTTAATGCCCCATTTAATGCCCCTATTGTGAGTGAGTTTATAGTTGAACTCACTCACAAATGGATTAATCCAGTGGACTCAATGCCCCATTGCTGTATTGATGAGGTATACAAAAAGATGAGATATACAAAATGTGAAAATTTCAAATAGATGACCACTATATTTCACTGCCAAATTTGCAGGGTATACCACGGTTCTTACACCATCTGACTACTATTTCTTTCAGTCGCTGTAGAACTTTCTTTAAGGTAATAATAATTATATATTATTGAAAATATATACTTGAATGAAATTGATTTTCAATAGAGAACATTTTTGTTTAAAAACGTTACCAAAAAATCGCCGTCAATTTTTATATCAGGGTTTATATGACCTCTTCAAATATACCATAATTATAAATTTTTTTTTATAATATTTGCTTCAATAGATAAACTGAGTCCTATATATGGTATATAAATGTAATTTTGCACGTTTGTAATTTTTTAATAGGTCGGTTGCATTAAAATTAAAAATGCTCTCGTATAAAAATATGGTTTTTATCCTCGTGGAAAATAGCACTGTTTAGCGTAAAAATAAGTCAATTTCACTTAAAGGTAATTAATTTTGTTAGTTATTTTAAACCCATATTCAAAAAGGTAATGATATCAATGTTATTAAAAAGTAATTACCTCATTATACTATACAATGCTTTTAGGAAAATTATTTAGTTAGAATATATTATTTGAAATACTATATAGTTTTTTTAATAATTTTTATAAATACCTGCCAAAGGGGATATTAAAAATATTTTATGTTATTCACTTTTGTATAATAATAATAAAAATAAGTAATAATAAAAAGTTAAAATAAATATAGATGTAATTTAAAAAATTTTAAATTATATTTAAAATAAATATAAGGAAAAAATTAAAGAATATAATAAAGTTAAAATAAAAATAATATAGAAAATTTAAAATCAGCATAAGTTGTTATGCATCGTCCAAAGCGCATTTAAGTGCACCATTTAAGCCAGTTAAGAGATGAACTCATAAATAATGCCAACACAATATTGAACGTCATTGGCACTGTGCACCGCTACATAGCAGACTAGCAGAGGACATCAACGGGGAGTTCGTACTCTACGCCAACTGAGATTTGTTGCTGCTTATATCGGCGCAGTTCTTACTAATGTCAGCCATGCGGTATTGGCATAACCGCAAACTCAGGCAGTCAACCAGTGAAGCTACTTTCTGAGGAGGCACAGCATAGAGCGCGCCAAAGTGTGCGATAATGAACCCCATTTTTAAGTCACAACCATTCAGTGCGATTTGATTTACAATCCCATTTCGATTATAATCGATGATGATGTGTGTGCAAGCTTAAGCC